GCCCCCTCCCACAGTTCACTCGTGAGGAGGGCGGCCAGAGCGCCCTTTCCCGCCCCTTCCTCAGCATCTCCCCACCATGGCTCTTCCCCACGTGGGCAGAGACTGTGTCCTGGTCAGCTTGGTAGTTGGTCAGACATTAGCCAACCTGGTGTAGGGTCAGCTGAAGTGGGTGAAGCTTTAAAGGCTGTGTGTGGTTAAGGTGATGGAGATCCAGCCTGTGGCTACCCCCGTGGGCAGTGGCTCTTGCCTTTTCTCTGGCTTTTGGCCTGGATGAAAACAGGGACTCTGAAGGATTGGGGGCACCTGTGTGTGTGACACAGCCGTGCATTTACATGTGTTGTGCGGTATAGGTAATAGCTCTGAAAATAATCGTTGTCACTTACTGTAGCCTTTACTCTGCCTGCACGTGACAGCAACACGATTGTTTTGTGGAGAAATGTATTTTTTTTTTTTAAGCATTTCCCTTTTTGGAGGCTTCCGTGACAGCAGGGCCTGTGAGCGGTGTTTCAGGTGGGGCGAGGAGGGTGGGCCTGCTCTGCGGCTGGACCAGCACTGCAGGTCTAAGCCCCTCCCCATGCCGCGGTCCTGGAGTTATCCCGGTCAGCGCCCTCCACTCACACGCAGACACAGGCTCGGCCCTTCTTGAGAGCCAGGAGGATGTCGGGAGGGGATGGAGAGGCTACTTCCGCAGCTGATCCCAATTTCAAATTTGGTAGCAGTTTTAATTTCGCGTCACCCTCACGAGGGGGGACATGTATGTGTAATGAGTTCCAGACCTGTTAGCAGTAGCACACAACCGATACCTGCAGGAGGCCCACGGGGTGTCACAGACCAGTGACTGTGTGAGCACAGCTGCAGCCAGATGCAGTGGATGCGGGGTTGGTCGTGTGCCAAGAGGACCACAGAGAGGGACGTGGCTTCTGCTGGCTGCAGGCTTCACTGGGGAGGGGACATGGGGGCCAGGCCTCAAAGGAAACTCAGTGGTTTGTGCTAGCATCCGGATTCTGCTGATGAACTTCCCATGTTTCATTTCACATATTCCTTTATCCCTCAATTTTCTTCTAATCGACTCGCGTTTAATTTTTTTTCTCCCACATTTGCATAAGACTTTCGTAGGTAGTGGTGCTGTTTCTGTCAGTCATATCATGTCTCACAATTCTGGTTATTTCGTGATACTGTCACCTGTCAGTGCCCAACACCTAGACCCACAAGGTCAGTGGGCTGCATTTCTTCTCCATGTATTGCCTGGAACACATCTGTAAAACGAAACTTCTCCTTTACCAACTATGCTTTAATTGAGGACCAGGCACGAGGTAAAGGAGTGGAGGCTTTGAGGGCAGATACCTGTCAAGGACTGTTTGGGTTCCACGCCTTGGCCAGAGCCCGGCCTCGATGAGTGATTTAACGGTAACTCTTCCCAGGTGGTCTCGGGGATGACACGAGATGAGCTTGCCACCCTTGCTGCAGGACACATGGTGGCTTGGTTTAAGCAGCTGCCACATCTCTTTGGCTGGGGAAAGTACACTTCCCTCCGGTCCTGTTTAGGGAGAATTGCAGCCTTGTTGGAAAGATGAGACAAAGCGAAGGCTGTTGTTCTGACGGTGGTGGGCACTCTGTAAATGGTTGCTGAATACGTGAAGTAATTAGTGTCCAGTTGTTGCCGATGTCCATTTAAGATGATGTGAAGAGCTGGAGCGCGGCTAGAGCCTGGGAAGGCTCCGGAGAGGTGGCCTTAGAGCTGGGCCTTCAGGATGGGCGCAGGAGGGCTGAGATGAGCATCCTTTGATACTTCTAAATTAATTTTTTTGCACACACAATTAGAAAAGGCTGGCTATAAAATTAGATAGAATGAGTGGAAAGAAAACCATTAAGAGACTCTCAGAACTTAAAAAGCTCTTCTCCCCTTAGCTAACATGAAACTGTGTAAGAAGAACTACAATAA